ACAATAGTCCAAGTATAATTATAATGAAAATAATTTAGTTGGTGGAATGAGATTTTATTATGCAACTCAAAGGTTGTTCATCATTTTGTAAATAAATATAATACTATAGTTATTGATAATTAAGTTTTAATTTCAGATCTATAAAGGTTATCATGGTTCACAAGAAAATCATAACCATGAAAAAAATAAAACTATTGAGTAATGAGAAGACATTGTTGGAAATTGTGGAAAAAGAAGAACAGAAATTAGAGAATGATAAAAAAAAATTGAAAACATTGGCAAGGAAAGAGCAAGAAAAAAATAAGAACATTATGAGGTTTGAGAAAAAATGTTGGCTAAAGACATGAAAACAACCGAGTTACCATCTTTAATTTACCATCACAATGAAAAACCATATAAGATGGGAAAAGTAGTATATGAAAACTGATTTCTTGGCGGTAATTTTTAGTGAATGTAGAGCTACATTAGATGCACCTAATCATTGGACTAGAAGTTGGATCTTTCATGGAAACAGTCAATCAACATGACTTAGAAAACAAAAATGGGGATGTGGAGTAATATTTTAAGCTCATAATGTAAACAGTAAAATTGAAGGTCCTTTCAAATGCAGAGAATTATTTTAAGTTCTTGAAGAAGATGTCTGAGTGGTACAGGTCATATTTCAAAAGTTTTTACTAGAAGAGTATATTTATGCAAGGCAATGCTCCTTCACATTTTGCAAAGTTAACTATTGCTAATGTTGCCAAAAATTAATAGAATGGCCTCCAGCCTATCCAGATATTAATCTAATAGAAAACTTGTGGTTCATCATTAAAAGATATATGATAACGGAAACTGATATTTAAGCAAGGAAGATCTCTGCAAAGCAATCAAAACTGCTGCAGGTAATGTTAAAGTTGAAAAGTAGTAAAAGTAAATAAAATCAATTGATACAGCAACAGAATGTCAAAGAGCTGATATCAAAATGTAAAATAAAATTTAATTCAGTTTATTGAATATTCTACTATTAAAATATGTTTCCTTTGGGTTTATTTATAAATAAAAATTTGGCTATATTTCTGAGATGAGGTATTGTAACTATTTATACCATTTATATTGTTCAGACTGTTGTCCTTATCTTTGTTGTCATATTCACAATGTTTTGGCAGTTACTGAGACATTAAGTTTATAAGTCCTAAAAATTCATAACCTGATGTCATCAAGTGGATAAAATCATTAATTGATATAATCCAGTGACTTGACCCAAAGAGTTTTGAGGTCAATACCTGGCTGTAGCAGAGGTTAATAAAAACCTGGAGAGTTGAGTTACTAAGGAAAATAACTGAAACCAAAATATCCAAAACAGGCATGGCACGTGGAACTAGAACAATCTACCCCAGTGGATGAAATAAAGGTTCGGTTTGAAATTCCAATCACCTGGAGAATGTCAGCGCATACAATGGATGAAACAGTCTGAACAATGTAAATAAAAATTTATTTTGCACTTTGTATCATAAAACCTAACAGCCCAAAAATAAGTTATCAATATTTTTAATATTTTGTATCATAAACTGAAAGTCACACGATATGTTACTCATGAATATAAGTAGACTGGGAAAATTATATTCATACTAGTTTTATTATGAAAACAGAGTATAGTAAAATCTAACAAGGTATATATAGTAAAAATGCCTTTAAAAACTTTGACAACTTGAATTATCCAAACTAATTTTATTCTAACATGTCAACTTTTCAGTCTCTTACAGAAGTTGTAGCAAGTAATTTTTTTTTTTTTAAATAAGGAATTGCTGAATATTTATTTGGAATCATTTCTCAATTATAATCACAACACACCGGATACATTTGTTATTGATAGCTACTGGTATTCATAATCCATTATAGATATTCCAGTAACTGTATTTATATTGGATATAATCCAATTACTTCTAAAAGGTTGTACTAGCTTTTACTGTTTGTAATATGCTATAACATGTAAAGTGGTATAGACATCACAATTAAGGAATGACTAAACTGTGTTTATCTGTTCAGGTTTTTGTTTTCTGCCTCACTTTGCTTTTTCTTGCAACATATACAGAATAGTAATATATGAGAGTTTCCATCTGTTATGGTTTAAAATAAAGTTGCTATTGCCAGTTGAAGCAATCATGGAAAAAATAGATAAGTCAAAAAAATATTTGAAAAAATGGTCCACATGAAGATGACCAGTAAACAAACAAGATTTCAAAGAAAAGTGGATTCATGCCTTAAGAGGATTACTATGAAAATTATACCATAAATCATGTTTAGAATTTTAATGGAGTTTGTTGATTTCATTTTCTACGGCATTAATATATTTTTATATCAAACAGCATTTAAAATGGGATAGTGGACATTAGTTATAGGTAAAAACTATAATACTAGACTTTTTTTTTATAAACTTATAATACTGGATTTTACAGTCAGTATTAATGGGTTAATGGCTTAAAAGATTTCTCCATTTAAGCAGAGAATATATTAATATTCCCTACTGAAATGGAGAACTTTTCTAAGTCATTATAAACCTCAACTTCAGATTAATCTCTACTTTATATATAAAAGGCACCTTCATGTGGTTCAATGGTTAATAAGCTTATTTTTCAGATCATTACTATAAAATTTACACCTCAATGGTTGTGTTATATCTATGAAAAAAAATAAGTCATCTTTAGTACAATGTTACAGAAATATAAAAAATTTATTAGCTGTTTATTCACTTCTTTATTGCTCCTGTAGTCAGTCATTTCCAAATCTTTTCTAAAAATTGCAAAGCTATAAAAATGGCTTCCACATGAATTTTGGTTTGATTGATTTGTTTTTTTTTACAGCTTATCAACCTTTTTGAGGTTATTTAAAACTCAAACATATTTGATTGCAAGAAGTTTTTGGAGATGATAATTTTCTGATAGAAGTATTACTATTTAACCCATCACTAAGAGAAGAAGATGTGGATTTATACGTTTCCCAAGAGTATTTGCATGTAAGTGAATCTAACAAACTCGAATCTCCATTCTGAGTATTTATACATTACACTACTTTAAACATTCAAGCTTACAGCACCTGGTATTTCTGAATGGTCATCCATCTAGGCACTGACCAGGTAGTGATTGGATGAGAATCAATGTTTCAACGTGATACGGCCATAAGCCTTATGAATTTTGGAAAGGAATGATGGTCAGCATTTAAACACTTTCTTTTCTAGTATGACAAAGAAAAAGTCATTTTTACAAAATAAACATTGCCAATGAAAGATAGAATTATTATAGGAATCTAGAACTGTCGAAAATTATGGTTAGATGTAGGAAAACTTTTAACTAAATGGAATCTAAAAAAAAAAAAAGATTTGTTTGTTTGGTATATTTTAAAGGAAATTCATCGTTATAAATTGCTGTGACTAGGATACATTGTTATTATGCAACACTACATTGATAAATTGGCTCAATTGAATGAGATAACATTGGAAATGAAAAATTGAAAAAACTCTTTCTACATAAGAAAATTGACTAGTAATTTTGTTGTATGCAAAGTTACATCCACAAACTGCAATTGCAATACAGCAAATTATTTTGAAGCTTTGGTGGGAAGTTTGTCCCTATAACTTGTTGCCTTAAAAATTATACTTATTTCATGAAATACACTTTATGGAGTCAGTGATTCAAACAATTTCAAGAGATTGAAAATTTTACTAATGGATCGATTGGATCAAAATTGGAATTGTTTTTTTCAAAAAATAAAAAAAATAAAGATTAGTACAAACCATAATAGCTTAGAGACAAAAATGACAAGTATCAATGACTGACTTAAAAAAAAAAAAAGAAGTAAGCTCTATATGTCAGTCACAAACAAGGCAAATAATGGTTACAAAGTGCATTTATAAGACACTACACTGTCAGCTCCAAAGAAATTTACATGTCAAAACAAAAAGGAAATTATGTAAACTTCAACACACAATGCTAACAAGGTAAGTCAATTATTAATAATAAAATCAAAAGTTAAATGTAGTTTCTTTCAACTTCATGCATTGATGCTGCATTTGTGTGAAAGAAAGACAGTCAAGCAGTTAAATTTTTCCTTATTTTCTAAATTTTAAATATGTTCACAATTTTTTGTTTTCTAATCACAGACACCATGCACAGAAATGAGCAATTTTCTTCTGAGTACTTATTACATTTATTTCAGGTTTCCTCAATTATGATATGATTCACACTGAGAAATGGTAAAATTTAATAAAACTTACAAGGAAATACATTACCTTTTTAGCTATAGTTACATTTAGTACTATTTTTCAGATCTATAGATATAAAAACATGACACAAGATCTTTAACCCAGTAAGAAGAAAGGAGCTATTAAAGAGCAAATGAATTCCATGTCAACAGCCAACTAACTGGAGCTTGTGTTAGGAGAAAATCATCACTGAGAAGGCAATGAGGAAATCACTTAATTTTTCCAAGAACTATCATAGCAATTCCCCACTCACAAATATCAGACAACATTTTGAAGAGGGTTAGCTTTCTTAAAACTAACTCCTTGCTTGATAAGGAGAACTGTGTGTGACAGGTGTTGTCTGACAAGTAATTGGTCAATTGTCTGCAACAAAAATCAGAATGTTAGGACATTGGTTCAAAGTTGTGAAAGAAGAAATAGAAAGACTGAATATTCTACTTTCTGGGAGTATGTAAAACAAGATTAAAGACAATAAGTGATGATTATAGAATCATATAAGCAGAAAGAGAGAGAGAAATGAAAGAAGAGTTGGACTGTGAGCTAAAGACAAAGAGGAAGTATGTTTTGAGTTGCTAGCAACTGTCAGACAGAATGCTTCTGGTGAAATTGAAAGGAAAGCCATTCAATATGACTATTATAGTGGTATATACATTCATATCAGCTTATTCAGCTTTGTGTCACTTGTCAGTTTTCTTCCAAAGAAACATACCCTATGACTTTTCAGTACTAGCAGATCTGGGAAGGGGGCTTATGGAAATATCATCTTGAAACACCATTTCTCATGTGATTACAGAAGTTAAGCAATGTTGAGCCTGATCAGTACCTAGATGGGTGACCTTTTGGGAATATCAAGTGCTGGAAATTTGGACATGCAGCTAGTGTAATGGGTAATGGTTCAGAATTCCAGTTGGTTTGTTATATTCACTTATGCCCAAATACCCTTGAGAAAGGTATGTATCCACCTCTTTCTCCCCAGCTATGGGGTTAATTAGTAGGAATTGCATTATTAAATCATTATTATCTCCTAAAAATATTTTCTGGCTTTGAATAACCTGCAAAAAGGAAATCAATTAATAAAAACTAGACCCTGGGATTGAACTCAGAAGAAACAAGATAAGTTTTAATTATGGTTTGGGGGATTTCTTAGTCAGGCTGAAAACTTTTCAGCGCCCCCTTCTCATGTATAACAAGCATGAATTGATATTATCTGGAATAATATTAAATGAAGCACAGCTGCATTTCTTATTATCTGAATTTGTTGTGTGTTCTTGCGCAGTCATATTAATAATAGAGTGGATTGAGATGTCATGTAAACCAACTCTGGGAAATAATTGATACGTTTGATAATGACAATGCGTTGGTGTGCGTGCAGTGAATGAGCAAAGGGAATCCAACAGATAGAAACAGAATGATGAACTTAATTACACTGTGTAATTAGAAATGGACAAAATAAGGTGAATGTGTGTATCATGTGATGGTTGCAAGATGTGGCAGGGCTTACCTGTTATTTGTTGGCCAATTGGCATGCTGAGAAAAGACAAAACAAAAGACAGATTCTACGATTCTGTTTTGAGAAGAGTCAGTGTGGGGAGGGGAAAGGAAATCGAAAGAAGATAAAGAGAAGATGTAACAAATAGAGTGTTAAAAGAAAAGGGAAGAAAATCAAAAAGAGATTGTTGAAATAGAAACTAATAGAAAGAAAGAAAGAAAAGTGAAGAAAATCAAAAAGAGATTGTTGAAATAGAAACTAATAGAAAGAAAGAAAGAAAAGTGAAGAAAATCAAAAGATTGTTGAAATAGAAACTAATAGAAAGAAAGAAAGAAAAGTGAAGAAAATCAAAAGATTGTTGAAATAGAAACTAATAGAAAGAAAGAAAGAAAAGTGAAGAAAATCAAAAGATTGTTGAAATAGAAACTAATAGAAAGAAAGAAAGAAAAGGAAGAAAATCAAAAAGATTGTTGAAATAGAAACTAATAGAAAGAAAGAAAGAAAAGTGAAGAAAATCAAAAAGATTGTTGAAATAGAAACTAATAGAAAGAAAGAAAGAAAAGGAAGAAAATCAAAAAGATTGTTGAAATAGAAACTAATAGAAAGAAAGAAAGAAAAGTGAAGAAAATCAAAAGATTGTTGAAATAGAAACTAATAGAAAAAAAAAAAAAGGGAAGAAAATCAAAAGATTGTTGAAATAGAAACTAATAGAAAGAAAGAAAGAAAAGTGAAGAAAATCAAAAGATTGTTGAAATAGAAACTAATAGAAAGAAAGAAAGAAAAGGGAAGAAAATCAAAAGAAAGAAAAGGGAAGAAAATCAAAAGAAAGAAAAGGGAAGAAAATCAAAAGAAATAAATTGATGAAATAGAAACTAATAGAAAGAAAGAAAATGGAAGAAAGAAAGAAAGAAAGAAAATGGAAGAAAGAAAGAAAGAAAAAGAAAGAAAATGGAAGAAAGAAAAAAAAAGAAAGAAAATGGAAGAAAAGAAAGAAAGAAAAGAAAATGGAAAATGGAAGAAAAAGAAAGAAAAAAAAAGAAAGAAAATGGAAGAAAGAAAGAAAGAAAGAAAATGGAAGAAAGAAAGAAAGAAAAAAGTAATCCAAAATTTTCTGAACATGTGGTTAGCACTTCCTATAATTACATAGCAAAATCAAAATTTGTGATCATTAAAAAGTGGAAGTAAACCTTAGAGATATGGGTATACAGTTCCAAATTAAAGTGATAAAGTGATTATCTCAAAGTTACCTTAATTTTGGGGTTTTCAAATGCATATAAAAGTTATGTTTATATTATTCTGTAATATTGAGAGTGCACTGATCTCACAATTTTTGGCAATAAATCTAGCACCAAGCTCATGCATAATATAGCTGATCATTACAAAAGCAATAGCAGCACAATGCAATATATGAGATAATAGAGAGAATAACAGAGATCTTAGAGTGAGTTAATTTCAAATCCAGCAGACATTAATAGCTTTAATACAAACAAAAATGATCAAGAGAAAATCAAGAGAGAAAGAGATTGTAAAAAGAAAGAGGAAGAAAGAAAATTATAAAGAAACAATAAAGTAAGAAAAGTACAATGTAGACAATTATTGATAAGATTTAGTAAATAATTTTATCTTTTATATTCCTATTGCTAATATTTTTTCTTTAAATACTTTATTGAATTTTAAACAGTATGTCATTGAGATAGTATTGAAAAAAAAAAGCAATATATGTAATCAGCTGTGAGAGTGTCTCATTATGATGTAATGAATCATTATGATTGAGTAATATGTTCAGTTCTTATTGAGATGCTCATATTTGTAGCTTTGTGCACAAATTAAGCTATGCCTCTTCATAGCATAATAATTTATCACGTAGTTTGATTTTCACTAAATACCCCATACTTATAGGTTTGCATAAAAACAAAACTATGCTTACTAAATAATTACTATCACCAGTTGTTTGTTTTCTTCACCAAGAGACACAATAATGAAAGGCCTGGAGAATTTAACACACACAGGGCATATTGAAAATAAAAGAAGCAAGAGAGAAAAGCAGAAGACATACTTGACAAGTCTGAGCAAACTGATAGTAAAATAAGTATCATAAAAAAATAAAGAAGGATTGTAAAGGAACAAGTACTGCTGAAAACAGCCAAAAACCTGGAACAGAAGGGATATTGCAGAGATGAAACAAAATGTTAGCATAAGGCTTACATTGTAAAAAAAAAAGTGTTAATAAAGAAGGAAAAATTAAATTATTGTTCTTAATAAAAAGAAGCCCTATCATTCTTTTTTTTTAAAGAAATACAACAATGTTTCAAGCTTTTAAAAACAATTATTAATGTATACTTGATCTGAGTGCTATAATACTCCTTTAGAAACTCATGAAAATATGAGAAATGTAAACATACTTTTTAATTTTGGGGTCTACTTAAAAAGCAGAGTTCATTATTTCCTCACCATTAATAGTTGGAATTCAGGTAAAAGCTGAAATTCTAAATGCCATTTTTCAAGAAAGGTAAATTATTTTTGTCTGATAGTAAGAGTTATTTATATTCAGACTATTGTTCTATCACAACAGAGGGTACAATAGCTGAAACATAAAAAAAAGATGAGGATATTAGCCTGACTGCAAATAAGGAATAGTCTTTATTTTGGAAAATTTTAATACAACCCCGTTTTCTGTTTCCCATTCCAACTGCCAGTTGGCATAAGGCCAGAGTAAACTAACTAAATATCTATACCTACTGACCATAATAGACAAATGTATTAATATTAGTTAACTTTATACAGATATATATGTACTAAATCCAGTCCCATAACTTTCTTTTTGAAACACCTGTCATTTGCTATTTACATTTACATTTTATCAGAAGATATTTTAAGAACAGGCAAAGTATTTTCTCTTTCTTAGTTTTTTACTTCTATTTTAATTTTTACTTGTTTTATAAATAAACAGAAAAGTCAAGAAAAGGTCTAGTGGTTGATTATAAACAAATTATTATTTTAACAAAGTCAATATAGATGTTCTTTCTGATAAAATTTCAAGAAACAAGGAACAAAGAATAAAGACTTACATTTATTTGCAGGTAGACGGCAGATTGGTAAAGATATATTAAACAAAGTCAGATAAGATTAAAAACAAAATACTTACTCGAGTTGACTGTGAGTCAAGATGGTTTCTAAAAGAGGATCAAAGGTGACTGATTTCTCTTCTGTGTTAGGGAAGTAGCATCATCAAATGAAAAATCCTGAAATATATTGATAAGAGAAAATAAGAATGAGAGGACATTTGACATTATTATACTTTTATAAAACTTTTATATATATGAGCAAATGAATATGGGATAAATTAAAAAAAAAAAAAATCACTTGTGAAAATGCAATATTTGAAGAAGAATGGGACCAGCATAGTACAAAAAAAAATCTTATGAACTGGGATCAAATAAAGATCAAATACAAGCGTAATTAAAAAATAATTCTTTCCATCAAAACCACTTTAAGGGAACTGATGTAATGGAATAACCTGTCACCTCTATGAGTAACTACACTATAGGTAGTAACTACTTATAAGTATCTGTAAGTCAATGGACTACAGAGACTAGCTGGAATCTGTTCCAGCTGTGCTGTCGAACTATCTGCCTTCGAGCAGAGAGGAACCTGAATGAGGCTATGCCAAAGGGCAGAGTCTCGTCCAGGGAGGTAGACAGACCTAAACCTGTTTATGTGGGTTCTACAGGGAATTTTTGGCTGAGCATATGGGCTTGGACGACCCATGTTAAACTCGGCCTTGTGCCACATCTACCCTCGTGGGGGAGCTAGTAAATATTGATTAGCTGGGATATGTTGAGTATGACTCAGACTTATGCAAGAACTACCGACCTTCCTATAGTAGCACTCATTACTGGATTGACTTGCGATGACCTGTGCATAACTGTTACCTTTATTCTTATTGTACTGGGTTTTTTTTTTTTTTACAATTTTATCCACCTTGTTTTTCAAGTATATATTCCTATTTAGCATGGAATATAACAGGAATCCTAATAAATATCTTGACTATAAACATATGTCAAAAAACATTGTATTACATCATCAATCTTTATTAGATCCACTCTTAAAGAACCTAAAGAAATCTTAAATCTATCACAACCAGTGTCTTTATAAAAATGTCCTTAAATCAACATGCAGACAACCACCAAACATAAATAATGCCTACTAGATATACACACACTTAGAAATATACACTATCATTCGAATCCCAGATAAACAAACTAGAATTATGATACACTTACATACATCTATATAATAAATGCGAATGTCATAGAGTCACACTTTCTCAACTTTACTTCTGGATTCCATAGCCCAATATATCATACCAT